TTATACCAGTTGGACGAAGCAATGCGCTCCTGCTTCCAGAACCTGTCAAATGTACGGACCAATCACAACGACTACCCGCCTTGGCGTCAAGCAACGTTACCGGTTAGTAGAGGTGGAATCGGCATCCGCCGGTCGGAAGAATTATCTCTCCCAGCCTACTTGGCTTCGATTCATTCCGTATCCGGTTTGCTCTCCGCACTACTGCCTAACCACGCCGCTGTTGACATCACTGGTGCCTCGGAGTCATGGAAATTAAAAGCCCGTCAACCCGTACTCCCGGAAGCTACATTTCAGAAGTCCCAGAAGGCCTGGGACTTGCCATTATGCAACGTGTCCCTTGCGGCCCTGCTGGAGGTATTTCAAGGAGACGAAGTCAACACAGCGCGCCTGCTTGCCCAGTCTAGACCAGAGGCCGGCATCTGGTTGAACGCCTTGCCGTCCGCTCACATTGGTAATCTACTGGGCGACGACGAACTGAAGATCAGCATCGGCCTCCGTCTCGGTGCCACGATCTGTGAACCACACGACTGCGTCAAATGCCACAAACCTGTTGGTGGTTACGGGCACCATGGACTGTCGTGTGCCTTTTCCGCCGGTCGACATCCGCGCCACGGCGGATTAAACAGTATCTTCTGTATAGCCTTGGTATCCGCCGGTGTGCCAGCGAAACTGGAGCCGCGCGGCACATCTCACACCAATGAACGCCGCCCTGATGGCTGCACAACTTTTGCATGGAAACGCGGATTATGCCTCGCTTGGGACGTGACATGTGTAGACACAGTTGCGCTTTCGCATGTCAAGGCCACTGCTACCACAGCTGGAGCGGCCGCCATGCAGGCAGAGTTAAGGAAATCAGGACTATATTCCTATCTGGTCGGCCGCTACCTATTCGTTCCTATCGCTTTTGAAACACTGGGCCCGTGGGGACCGTCGGCGATCGCCATCATCAAAGAACTTGGAAAAAGACTGCAGCTGCACACCGGAGAAGCACGCTCGCATGAATTTCTGCGGCAGCGTTTGTCCATAGAAATTCAACGGGGAAATGCGGCGTCAGTGCTGGGCACGATGGAAGGACTGGACAGGCTGAACGAAATTTTTCTGTTATAGTTTAGCGTGTTTTTCTTCTTCAAATTTGTGTATTGTGGCCTTGATTTGACCAATAAAGTATGAAACTTTAGATTATTTCTGTAAATAAGCCTTCATTTTTTAGCCAGAGTGTTGCATGGGAAATTCTTACAGATTCGGTTAAAGTAAAATTAATTGCAGTGCTACACTGGGCGGCTCCATGTGCGTCAGGCCCCGGAAGTTCATAAAATTCAGTTGTTTGAAAGGTTCATTGGTCAGCTTTGCGATCTTCGTTATACTTGTAACTATTATGACAAAATTACATGGGAAAGAGATTTTCGCTGGAATATAGAACAGCCTGAAAGAAAATAACCATACTATTGTTCGAGATACGCGTGCCGACAATATTCTTGATTCCAATCTGAAAATTTATCTTTTGCAGTTAATGGAATATACGTGAAAATTAGTTTTCCAGTGATTTTCCAGTTTAATTATTATGTTAATGGCCAACTAGACGGTGCGCGGCTGCACGCACCGTCGCACAGTCGCAGTTGGTTGGGTCAACCGTCTTTGTCTGGTCTTGCAAAAATGGCCGAAGCCGGCCGAGCACCGCCGCTATCTGCTCGTGGGAACTGCCATTTTCGGCCTTGCCCACCGCGGTCTGGAGCATGGACGGCCGCCGTATGGTAGTAATTTTACGATAATAAAGGTGTCCACATGCATTGGCGTAATGCAAGTTTGATGCAAATCACATGAAGTAGAGCAAAATGTTATGATTTAAAACTGAAGTGAAACGTGTCGATGAATTTTTCGTTTTGGCGGTTTGAATGGCGATAGTGACTAAGTCGACTACATATACATCGACTACATAAATGCCATGAAACATCTAGCACGGCACCCGCCCGGTGTATCGGCAATCCACCCGCCCACGGTAGCGGTAGGCAGCGATAGCGATTGGCCAGGAAGTTTCATTCATGAATGAAAAGGAAGGATTTCCCCTCCCTCTTCATTCACTGATTTTTTGGATGAATTCACGTGATCGTCATCCAGATTTTCGTTTCCTACATACATACTTTGAATTCATTCGATGCATGATGATTTCTACACATAGTTGCTGCTGAATGATAAATTTGAATGAAAAAACGTGCATTCATTCAATGCATGTGGACACCCTAATCCCTCCCTAGGATCCCTAGGATCATAATCCGTTCGGTACTTTATTGCTCTGTCCTCCGTCAGACGACCGACCTTGCCGCAGAACGCTGCAGCTATCTATGTTTGTCTTTGTGATCCGCAGCCAACAACATGGGGCCATGGGCCGCCGCCCGCGCGTGCCTCACACGTTGGTGCTGGACAGTTGAAATTGTCATCCATTGTGCAGTGCTAGGAAAATCAATACTACTGTATGTATTCTGAAGAAAAGGATGCTGCAGTATCATAATAAATATCTGTACGTAGTAGTAGCAAGTAATTTTCTAATTTTATCGCTGATGAATTCTTGTTTGGTCACGTCCTGTTGACCTTCGTAATTCATTTTCTAAGTATGCTACGATGAGTGCGATAGTATACTACTTTTCTACTAAACAATGAAACATGAGATTTTTCTGAATTTTTCGACTATCTCTTTACCTGGTTAACCTCAGGAAAAGAGATTTCGATTATTTTTTTTTGTTTAAATTTTAATTATCGGGTAGCCTACCGGCGCTTGCATTCATTCTGATCTTGGTGGCTGCGGCCACTTAAGAGTTTCTTTTACGTGGCAGGTACAAAAGCCTAAAATATGTTTTGTAAAGTATTGATTACAAATTTGCGCATAAGGGAAGATTTGTTGTAATAAGTTGCATTAATTAGTCGTTTCCGCCTGTGGCGACAGTTGTCTTGTACAACGATGAATTGCTTCATTCTTGTTTATCCTTCATAATAAAAGTTTAAGAGGAGGTGTGGTCATCGTGTTTGCGCATCCATCCCGAATGATACACGTGGTCAATCTTTAAGATCTACATATTATTCGATAGCCCAAACTCGGTAGGTTTTTACAAAATCAGTTTGGTTTGAGAAAACAAATAAGCTTTTAAGAAAACTCTAGAAAACCTTACTATACAAAGTCTAGGGAACATTGCAACAACCAATCAGAAAACCAGCAAAAACTCAGAGCCAGTGCTGGTGGCTAAGAAGTGACTGCCGCCTGAAGCCGTATGATTACCTTTTACGTACAGTACTAAGCCGCCTTTGGCGTGGCGCCGTGGACACTGGACAGTGATTGGCACTGCTGTACATGCGAAATCGCTGAATTCTGTGTGCGTGAAGTTGCAATGAACGAAGTTTTACGTTTACCAGCTGCGTATTGTTAGCAATTATAAATTGTTTGACAATTTTAATAGCAGATAAAAACTGAACAGTACTGTCGGGTATACCGTATTTTTTGTATCATTAACCGAAGGCGGAGCCGCAGCCGACGCCGGGCTGCGGCGCGAGCGGAGCTCGCGGAGCAGCAAGCGAGACATCCCGTTTTTACGAACATCAGTTTCCAGTGTGCGACGTGGTTCACAAATTAACCAAAGGGTAGTGTATTATTTTTGAAGTCGCAAAACAGAGTTTAAAAATACGATCTGGAGAGAACTGAAAATATGAACGGATACCACTAATTAATTAAATTAATTACTTAACATTTATTAAGTACATAATTTCTTAATAAACAGCAGGAAAAATTATTAAACCAGTAAACATAATGTACGTTCTTTGGTAACTGCGTGTGGGTCCATTTGGAGTGCGGTTCGAATTAAATAACTTTTCCAACTTCAGTCTGCGACACAATTATGGAAAATACCGCGCTATCGTTTCTGATCTTCCTGCTGTCTATTTGCGCACATTAGCGCGATTTGCGCATAAAGTTATCAGTGATAAGTATTTAACACAACACCATGAGAGAGACACTGTAATTAAATTTTAATTTCTGCAGTAGAAGTACAAACACTTCCCAATGTAAATTTGGAAGGAAAGTTAGCTTCGCTCGAATGTTTAACTTCATGTTGGACACCGGAAATTTAGTAAAGTATCACTTAAGTATTTCAACTGCGCCACAAGGTGGTGCAAAGCGGCAGTAAATATACCGTCGAAAACTGTTTCTTTATCAAATATAAATACCGCGATATTCCGAGTCAAAACCCTGTGATAACATTATGTTATGCGTAACATAAGAAAATTTACATGCGTAATAAATAACCCAGTATCAGAGCAGAAATGGTTTTTTTTAAATAAGTACCGGCGTACCGCTGAACGCAAGCACCTATGATACCGTACAGCACATATTTTACAATTAATGAACAGGAGTACGTTTAAAAAAAAAAAAACAGGAATTTGCACTGTTTCCGGTACGGCGGCTGGGGCATGGTTTACTTCAGCCAGGATTTGTGGAAAGCAGGCGACAGTACTGTGTAATCGTATGAACAGTTGAACACTACAGCACATAATTAGTTTTAAAATTTTCTTTGAGCTTATTTGAAAGTTTTCTGTTAATCCTAATACGCCTCCGAATTACGCAAATGATTTCTAGCAGATTTATTCCGCGCAATTTGCGCGGGGTCCACTAGTTGGAGTATATTTCGGCAGTGGCCAGTTCACATGACAATAAGCCAGTGCTGGAAAACGTATTTAAACGATTTAGAAGTGAAACTGGGATGATTAAGAATCATCTAGTTTTCCAGACTTGAAAAATACCAAGTACACAAACCTGTATATGTGAAGCTTGTTACCTGTAGCTTCAATATCTTGAAGTCAACAGATCACATGTGCGAGTCAACCTTAGCCTTTAAAATCAGTGGTAATTAATTCAGTGCGGATTCGTGTGGACTTGATTGGTTTGTTTATATACACTTCCGTTTTTACCTGATGGTTGCTGGACATTGGTTAATGTGCATCAAATGGTTTTTTTGCAGAATGCCCCCCAACGGTCACCCCGCGCCGCCTGGAGAGGACATTGAAGATGATGCCCAAGGTGATGGTGCAGGTAAGTTCATTTGGTTCGGTTAAGGTTTTCACCCGATAAGTATTCTTTGATAAGCATCATGACACAAGTGCAAACTATGTACCAAACGGAAGTGATATGTATCACATTTCTTAAATTATTTATGGAAATATTTATAGGAATTGTAGCCAAAATGGCGCTTTGCTGTGAAATGTAGTGCTTTGGCTTTCGCTAGCGTGATTACATTTGCTTTTAAGAATGGTTCGCATGTTTTTACTTACTTTTAATAAAAATCACGATGGATTTCATTTGGATTGCGAAATTGATATGATTATTGTTATTACGGCACAAGAGCAGACAACCCCAAAGGGACTTTATGTCTGGTCGAACAAAAACAAGCGCTAATGTGGATGCTTAAGACAGATCAACAGATTTTAGTAGGAATTTGAAGGCAGGTACAGAGCTCGCATTAAGAATTTTGGGTTTAACAGTAATGATTTTTTCAAGAAGACTCTTTAACGGCCACTCTCTAGTCGACTCTCCTTGCCCGTGCAGCGTCGTCTTTTTTTGCCGGTTTTCGTAAATTGTAGTGCATGGTGTTTTCTTTTACTTTTATCATGTCCGGGAAGCGGAAGCTGAATCTTGTTCCAGATCTGCACAGCAACACCGCATCGCTCTGATGCCATCGGTCGAGTACGTGGTGAATACCCAATTTTTTTGTGTATTTTAATTCAGTAGGGCAATAACAATATCAAGATCTAATTACAGTTGAATAGAACAACATTCGCAACGGTACCCATTACAGAAGCGTTGGATTGCTAATGGGATGATCTGTTTCAAATTGCTGCTGATATATTTGCTGACTGCTATACTACTGCTGTACCAATTGGCATTTGCTAATACATATTGTACCTTATTGCTGTACCTGATTCTATTTCTGATATACTGTACTAGTGCTGTACCATTTTTTAATACGTACCCAATTGATACATTTCCGGAACAAGCATGGAAGTCAATGGGGCCCGCGGAACTCCCTGCCGAGAATTGCGTTCTTCACAGCGCGCATGGGACATACCTGTCGTTCTCATCCAGAAAGAAGCAGTGTTAAGCCAAAACAAGTCTATTAACCAAAAGGCCCGGCTGCTAGCAGTGTCCCAGCCTGAATCCGGACTGTGGCTTAACGCCTTACCAGTGGCAAGCGTCGGCACTTTGCTGTCAAATACCGAAGTAAGGATATCCATTGGGCTGCGCATCGGCGCCCCAGTATGTGTCGAATATCGATGCAAATGCGGCAGTACGGTTGATGTTTGGGGATATCACGGGCTGGGATGCAAGCGTCTTAAACGAAGATTTCCCGGCACAGCGAGGTTTTTATCCATCGTGCGTGTGGTACGGCCAGCATCCCTTCAGCTCTGGAACCTCCGGGCCTATACCGCGACACTCTGAAACGACCGGACGGCATGACTTCAGTCCCTTTCTGTCATGGAAAATCGTGGGTCTGGGATGTCACCTGCCCGGACACCATGGCCACTTCCTACCTTGCCAAGACGTCCCAGGAGGCCGGCGCGGCCGCCACCATGGCAGAGACAAAGAAAAGCCAGAAGCACGAATTTTTGCGGGATAATTTCAAGTTCTCTGCTTTGGTTTTTGAAACAACAGGTGTGTGGGGCAAAGAATCGAAATGTAAAATGTCTACACTCGGTAAGATGCTTTTTTAGAGGACCCAGGAAAAGCGGTCCACTCAGTTTCTGAAGCAGAGAATCAGTATTGCTTTAATACGAGGTATTGCTTGCGTTCAGGAAACCTTCTGCATCGGGAGGAGGCTGGATGAAGTGTACTATGTGCTGAAATAATGTATTGCGTGATTTAGCGTTTAGCCAATGTTCATTTGTGTAACCCAATAAAAATAAGCTCATTTCCGGAGTAAGCGAAATTTTGTACTCACTGATGGTTTTCGACCTTAACGTTGTAGTCTTGCTAGCATGTCGCGCTCCGTCGAATACACTGCAGACGATACCGGCGACCGGTGTGCGATATAGCAGGTGCAACCAAAGCAGCCGTGATAAGGAACTTTGCGCTGTGACATGCTGAGCCCTTGTAACGGGTAACCTGCGGGTAACCATTTTATGAAAACGATGTTTTTATAAACATAAGAAAAATGAAGTTCTCAGGTAACAGCTTGTCCCTGCATAGTAATTTATTTCCATCACAAAGTTACCTATTAGGCTGTTACTTACTTAACGCGAAGTGGTGATATGATCATTAGCCACTACACTACGAGTACGCCACATAATGACAAGTTCCCTCCTCTCGAAGGTTTAAGAAAGGGCGAAAAGCTAACATTTTATATGGATAGTTTATAATTCAGATTTGGCATGCAGTAGCCATGCCAAATGGGTCTAAATATGTAGTGTGACCCGGGGTGCCGCAGTATGCGTGATGCGTATCCCCTGAATTTGTATTTTAATTTATCTGTTATCAGGATCCAGACAGTTGTTTAGTTCTGATATGTATTATTCAGAATTAACATTTTGTGTGCCTAATTAATCACAGAATTTAGAGTTAATACAGTCCTCATGCTCGTACTTAAGTCCAGTCCAGTCGAGTTAATACAGTCTTCATGCTCATGCTCGTATAATATCATCATAATAATACCCCACCTTGGGGGCATTATGGCGATATAATACAGTCCCAAGTTTTTTAGAAATGTAACAGGTTAGATGATTACACAATCTCAGACTGCGTGAATAGGCGGCCTAGTCACACAGAACATTTCGTCTAAATCAGCCGACACTGGTGCTGTTCCCATGACAGAATTAAGCCGCGTTCCCGCGTTGAAATTCAATGATGACCCGCTGGCCCAGATACTCCGTCACCCGTACCTCGCCTGCTTCCTGTCGTCCCGACTTCGGTCAATAAAGGAGAGGCGTCCGGTCCAAGTGGCTTGAGTATTCCGACACCTACTATTGCGACGCTTGAGTATTTGCCACTTTATTTAGCTCTGCGCGCGCCGCGGCTGCCGCTGCTTGTTTTACTGTTGCCGCGATGTACGATAAAGCTACCGTACTCACATGTGGCATTTCTCATCAGCATTTTTCATCTTCCCACGGGACCAATGACACTCTGTCGGGGCGCTTGCCATCGGTCCGGGAAATACCAGGTGGTTCAAGTTTCTTTTCAATAACGGCTGAAGCGAAAACGGGCTTTAAAGTGACGTTAATACAGCTGTGTCTGGGCTTTCGTCCCGGCTCATTTTGCAGTTTAGGCCGTGGTATCCTCGCGCACCGGCCCATGCACCACAATTGCAATGGTGGGGAATGGTGATTGGTACGCCGAGACGCAGGCCGATTGCATTCTGAGGGTGGTGTCGTTGAGAAAATTCTCTAGGGATACTGCTGGTAGCGCTGATCCAACCATGTGCCGTTGTCTTGAGTGCTTCACCTCGGAGGCTGGCTTCACTTGACATATTAGACTGAGTGCCGCTAGCAAGACTTCCACCGTGCCCCGGATGATCGGTTCATCCTATATCTTCTGGCATTTCCGGGTTTCGAATTTTCGTATTTTTGTGGCGTCTTAATGCCGCAGAAACTACGGGACAAGTATGTGTAACATTCTGCCGTTCAACATAATTTTTCGGTGCCCGGCATGGAGACTTGAACCGAACTGGCACCGGCTGCTGCCATCAATATCCGGAAAGAGAAATAGATGTTATTTAGAAATAGATGTTATTTAAAAATCTCGTGTGATGCTTCTTGCTAAAGGGTCCGATAAAAGTTTAATGGCCTGATCGTTTCATGTTACTAGCGTCGCAACACCACACCCTTTCACTTCCAGCTGTGCTCGTGATAAAGTCAAATGATAGTGTTATTCCGGGATTATACATTATGTGCATTTTCAGTTATGTGCAAAACATTTTTACCACGATTTTTGGGTACCAAACAGCAATATAATCGTGCTAAAGTTTGGTAATTCTGCATGTGATTTTAATCGAATCTTCACTCTACCTAAATTGGTGAAACAGAAACGCAGTAAATCACTTCAGTACGTAGTACACACCGATGCAACCTGTGATTTACATGCCGAGTAGTCGGTTTGAAAATCATTAGAAAGAAGTTCCATGTTCATCAAATGTCATATTTACTAATTTACATATATACAGAGTATGTATGCACCGCTATGAAATTATGTGTGTCCGGATTCGAAAAATTATATGTGCTTGTGCGTTTCATTTGCATGTTAGTTGTCGAAATATTATTTCTGAATTTACTGGATCGTTCACATGTGTTTCTTTGCTTAGTTATTACTGGACATTGATCTCGCCATTTTTTAATCCTCCTTGATCGTCTTGTTGCGCCGAGTGTGACTGCTTGCGTGAAGCGAAAGAAAAATACTGCTTTCAGTATCCCCTTCGACACAAACTTGCCAATATCATCGTGAGCATAACTGCTTACTGCATCACTCTGCCTGACTCCAACAATTTTATCGGAAATCGAGTGCAACGTTTTAGCAGCTGCATTACTAACGATGTTTCAGAAATGCCGATACGGTAAAGTCGATATCTGGAAACTAGCCCTTGAACTAAGAATTTAGCCCATTTAAAACTAAGAATCTACTCGTAGTCGATCTGCGTTATGCTTACTGTAATTGAAACCTGTAATCTTTACTGTAGTGGTTTTGAGTTTCCGATGAACAAAATTTTCGGACATTTTTCAATGTGTAAATATTTATTTATTAAACATGTCACAACAACAAGAAAATCGCATGAAAAATAATATTTGTGATAGACAAGAATTGGTTTCTACCGTCCTAAATTAGCACGTGTGTCTTCGTAACTGTACTTACTCGTATTTATCAGAACCTAATCGCAACTGTTTAATGTTCGGTTGTGGTTTCGTGTTTGCTAAGTAGTTTTTGATCGTCTTAAAGCCATGCAGGCCTAATTATCTTGCATGAAATGTTTTGTAAAAGATTAAACACAGTTTATCCAACTAACTATTACAGTTTTTTATCTTAGTTTATTATGGAAGATATTATGATTTTGTAAATTTGTAATCTCCATCCGGTATTTGCAGGGCAGGCGCCCAACGCCAACGACGCCGTCCAGCAGCTGCAGCAGTTGCAGGTCGACCATGCAGCGCTGCAGGAGCTGAATGCAGCACTGCAAGAGGTGAATGTGCAGCTCATGGGCGCTTGGGGGACCGCCCAAGCAATACTGGCCGCTCGCAGCGCGAGGATCAGCGAGCAGGGCGCTGTCATTGCCCAGTTGAGCGCCACTGTCAGCACCCAAGCCGCCGTCATTGCCGAGCACGACGCTTCCATCCGCATGCTGCAGCAGGAATTGGCGGCTGTGCGCGCTGAGATGGCGCACCTGTGCGCCCCGAAGTCCAGTGTACAGGTACATTCTCATTATTTTCATCAATTCCGCGTATAAATCAGTATATTTTTCCTTATTATCAAATTGTACAAGCTTAACGCCGTTTACACTTGAACTTGAGAAACCATATTAAAACAAGTAGAATAATTCTTCAAGCTGTTTAGAACACCGTTCCCAGAACGGAAGCAGCGTTCCCACGTTGAACTAGATAGCGTGGGAACGCTGAATTACGCAGCGTGGGAACGTGGGATTAATCAGTATATTAATCTCCCACACCTCAACTTTGCCAGTGTTGGTCTTTAAAACATCTGCCTTTCATTTACATAAATATTACCACTCTTGGGAATATTTATTAGGACAGCGGTACATGTACTCGTACAACAGAAATAGTAAAAGTTCGAATCTGATTAATTCCGGTAACCGTCACACGACTATTGTCGCTTTTAATATCTCCGCATAAAATTAAGTGTGCAGCAGTCCAGCATGCATTATTCTAACGAAAACGTTTCAATAAAAATTATGTATCTCTCAAAATATTTTTTCAAAAAATTAGATCATTCCTTTTCAGCGGTATACTGGTTTTCCCGAGTTTTTTGGTTAGACCGGTTCCTGATAATGAAATCCATAATGCCAAACTCCGTCAGGAGACTTTTTACCCGTACCTGAAAACCTTTGGGAATTTAGGATATTGGAAAAATTTCTGTTAGATTTCGAACATTTTATGAGATCAAAGATAAAAGTTGCCCACCTACTCGGAATCGAAGACATACACTCTTACAGTCAGACCGACTCAGAGGTACTAACACCAGGCTATGGGCAATTAATATTAAATGCTGCTCAGTTCTACAGCTGTTACATGTTACATTTCATTTTGCTGTTTTATTTTGTAATAATATTGTGTTTTGTTATTAGTGAGAGTATCAATTATTAAAAGGTATATTTTACTGAAATATGGATGCGAATATTAAAACATATTCGTTATTAATTGAGCAGTTACTGGTGGCTGACGACACCAAGTTCGGGATCATCGTGGTGGACGGTAACGGGGCGCTGTTCGGGACATTGCAGGGCAACACGCGCTGCATCCTTGTGCAGTTTACCGTCGACTTGCCCAAGAATCACGGTGCGTAAATGCGTCTGGTCCGATTAGTGCATCACTTTTAACATAGATAAACGTATGTGTCCCGGTCGTGTCTTGCAGGGCGCGGCGGGCAGTTGACGCTGCTTTTCGCGCCTCATCTCGTGAAGAAGCGACACGACTACCTGCGCAAGGTGGCCGAGACAGCCGTCACCTGCTTCATCACCAATGAGCAAGTCAGCGTGGCCGGCTTGGTGCTGGCGGGGAGTGCCGACTTCTATACGGAGCTGGCGCAGTCCGGATTTCTCGCACAGGTCAGTTACTGCACTCCTTATTTTGCAATAATGTGTAAATAATTCTAAAGTTTTTTAAGTTATTATACACATCCTTTTGGGGAGCGAAATAATAAAAATAATTGGTAGAAATAACAAAATCGTGGGTAGTACCGTAGTAGTAGCTGTAAATATTCTTCCCAGTCGTTTGTTAGATGGACATTTCATTTGCAAAATTGCCGGAAATCGGAATTGTAAGCCTTGTCTAACTGAAGCCGGATTTCTGTCTTTGCAGCGTCTGGAAGCCAAGATCGTGAATACGGTGAACATCTCTTACGGCGACGAGCAGGGCTTCAACCAGGCCATCGAGCTGTCGGCCGACTGTCTGGCACGCGCCAAGTTCGTCCTGGAGAAGAAGCTCATCGGTGCGTATTGAGCCATACTGTGTCTGCCAACGGTTGCTGCTCTCCAGTTGCGTTTCCACATAATACATATTATGATTTCATACTCGTACCATTGATTTTCTTTTCAATCTTGTTCTGATGTCATCCACGCTTGTGGGTCATATCATTCTCGATGACATCACAACATTGTGTCATAGTTTATACTTACTCGATGATATCACAATGAATTATCCAACGAACAGATCACAAATAAACTTGGAAAGAAAATTAGTAAAATTACTAATCGAAAATTCATGTGGATTAATTAATTGACAAATTAATTCATTAAATAATTATCGAAGATTTATGTGGATTACGGTGAAAGTTTTCGTATGTGTTTATCTATTTTTCTGCGCTGCAGAATCAAGAATAAACTAACCCAGATTACACTGGAAGTCTGGAAGCAATAAAATAGTGCAATTTGAGTTGATTTAGTATGCAGCTGATTTTTTCATTGATATAGTGTTGAAATAAAATGCCGAATTCAGTTGTTAATGTCGATTGGTATTTGCAGGTAAGTTTTTCGACGAGGTGTCGCAGAAAACGGGCAAGGTGTGCTTTGGTGTGGACGAGACGGTCCAGCGTCTGGAGTCGGGTACGGTAGAGACGCTCATCTGTTGGGAGAACCTGGACATTATGCGTTACGTCCTGCGCAACACCAGCACCGGCGAGAAGCAGATTGCGTATTTGCCGCCCAATCAGACCAACGACAAGAGCAACCTCACTGACAAAGACGTAAGTTGGCAGACTTCCTCTTCAGTTCACCATTTTGAACGTTTGGCATATTCAGCTTTAAATTAACTTTTTCCAAGTCAGACTCGAGTTCAAGCATTTTAAACGGTATTAAACAAATTTTTTTTCCAAATTATTCTGTAAATAATTGTAAGTGCTGGACTTGATCGAATTAAAAGTCCATTCAATAAATTATGGTGGAATAAATGTTGAAAAAATAACAATATACGTAAAATATTTATGTAATTCCTTTTTTATAGCAGAACACATAGGAAATAGTTTTCGCAGATGATTTTTAGTTTCTTTTTTGTAAAACTATATTTTATTACCAGTTTAGCTGGAAAATGGGTTTAAACCTGTTTGGATTTGATGCGTAATTGACTGGTTGTTGTTGTGTATGATTGAGTGGTTTGGGGTGCGTGTTGCAGACTGGAGCAGAGCTGGAGGAGGAGGAGAAGATGGCGCTGCTGAAGTGGCTGGCCAATGAGTACAAGAACTTTGGCGCCACGCTGGAGATGGTCACCGACAAGTCACCTGAAGGGTCGCAGTTCGTTCGGGAATTCGGTGGGATCGGCGGCATGGTGCGCTGCAAGGTTGAGCCGCCGCACTTCGACACCAGCCTCCTCGAAGACCAAGGATCCGAGCACGACTTCGATCTGGACGCCTATATTGATTCGATTTAATTGGACCGTTTGAGAAAGCAGCTCGAAAACAGTGACAAGATATGTGCTTTCACTTTTCTAACTGAACTGAACTGTTCTAACTTTTCGTGTTTCTCTACATTTCTTTTTTTCCCACATTTATTTTGAAGGTAATTAATTATTGAATTTCACGCCAGTCCTCAGTGAGCACGCGACTGTGTCCGTTCATTGACTGAATGCAACGACTAAAATCACACTGCATCTTGGTGATTTATTCCCGGTTATTCGTGGTAGATTTTTTTTCCAAATTATTCGGAATTATTCTTAATTATTCGTAGTTTATTGCATTCTTTAATTTAATAATAATAATAATAATGGTGAATCTATTGTCTTCGTGCAACAGGGCCGTACCCGTAACAGCAGTGGACATTGCACAGAATTTAAAAGAATGTTAGGCATGGTGGAATGGTCGTAATGATGTACAAGTTAACGATGTGGGACCTGACATACAGAAAACACAGCTAAAAAAAAGTAGCGCGGTAATTAAAACAAAAATCCACAGTTTAGCAGAATGAGAGTGATTGAGTGACAAGGTAAAAATAATCTTTAGGTGCAGAAATTTTTTATACCAGTCTAGTTCTTCCCATTTTACGTGTTTCAACGATTTACGAAAAGTTCGTAGAGATTTGTACGAGCCAAAGGGGAGAGAGAGACCTTGTTCCACAGGGAAGTGCACTTCCGGCAGCATTGACAGTATGGGCAACCGACCTTGTGCGCGGTTACATTAATACTTGCAGTTTTGCAGATGCTTTAACTAGAGGGAGCCCAGATAAGGGGAAAGCAAGGTAAGGGTCGCCCATATAAGGCAGCGGTCGAAGTACAGCTTATTGTTAGGACAAAATGGTCGCATACCCAACATATCCACATTCAGTACGCATGCAGCGCAGTGCACTGTACGACCGAGTTCAAAATATCCGGTTCGTACAAGTGCACTACACCGCATGCGTACAGAATGCTGGGTATGGGGTTATGCGACCATTTCGTCCTAAGCTGTATATAAGACCGACGTACAATATATCAAGGCAATTTACATGAGGCGTGTCGCCATGTGATCACAAGGTAATCCGGGATTGTCTGCGCTTCCGCTGACTATAGCTGCAATAAGCCGTGCTGCATGGCTGCACGGCCTGTGCATAATATTGGCATACGGAGTTTGTGACCTTTAGGTCCTTTACACACGAGCGATCAATTACGATATACTGCAGCTCGTAGTGAACTGCTTCATGACGTCGGCGGTGCGGGCTGCTGGAGCGTTTTTTGTGGCGTTAGCACCGGTGCCGTTGTTGCACGGACAGTCGTTGTTGCGTCGCATATGTTTGCGGCGCGGCGGGATCTCCACTTGGTACCTTTGGCAGGGCTGCAGTGACATCAGGGTGTGGGAGTTTTGGAGCTTTCCACCATCTCATAATGGTGCACCGGCACTTCACCGGAACGGGGATTCTGGGTACGAGAACTGCACCATACACTTTAATAAACATGTTTTAAATTGGCGCACAGTTAATTCCATTTTCCATATATATTTTTTTAAAATTAAATTTCACCATGGCTTGAAGGCAGAATAAATCATTTTTTATTTACAAGCCTAAGCGCTAACTAAAAGTCTTATTAAAGAATTTGGTTTAAATTTTCGCGCATTATTCATAAGTAAACTACATTTAGTACTCGAAAAAGAAATATAATTTTAAAAAATAAATTAATAATTATAGCTGTCAGTTGTTATTAGATGGCATTCTGTATTCGGGCAACTGCTAATAACTGACTGTCGAAACATTAGTTGTAAAACTGATAAAAATAAAATGTAATATGAACGAAGGTTTTATACAGATTCCGTTAAATATACAGCGAGCTTATAAAATGTTCTTATTATTGGACAACCTACTACCAGCCGCTGTTGACCTTCAAATGCGCTGGCCAATGCCGGTTACCATCAGTACTGAAGGCTTTAATGATTGACAGCCTCCGCTTCCTATGGCGGCTGCCACTCAAGCTGGAAGGACACCGGACTGGATAGCGCGGCCTTGGGCGGCAGCGGCCCACCATGTTAGTTATTTCGGTGATGAACTCGTGGCACAGGTCTGCCCGGAACCGCTGCGGCCGGTGACGCGGGTGTTAACGCGGAAACGGTAGCGTTGGCTGGGCTGCAGACCGGCGATGATGTAGGGCGCGTAGCGGTTCAGGAAGCAGGTGGCGGCGTGCTCGATGGGCTGATCTTGCCAGCGCGTACTTCACCTCGAAGCTGTCGAGGTCCAGCTGGCTGCCGTCCTACAGGATAAAGTCGAAGAGGATGCTGGTGGCGTTGCGGTTCACGATTTCCTTGATGCAGGTGTCCGTGCTGTTGGTCACTGTACATACCATATTAAAGGACTGAAGGTCATGCAGCTTTGGTTTCTAATCGCCAATACAAAACTGTTAATTTCTAATTTCTCCATATTCGTAAAAACTGATGAAAAGCAAAAAGGAACTGAAACCTTTAACAGCCGGTGCCATGAACATTGTGTGTACCAGACTGGGTTTTGAAGTTGATGGCCAGCGGGATGAAGTTCGCGTTCATGTACGAGATCTTGAATCCGAAACTTTGTAGCAGAACACTGTTCACTGTTCTGCAAATCCAATTTGACGATGACACACCCACAAAGTAATTCACGTACAACTGACCAGAAAACGTTCGACCAGAACGTTATAAAAGAAAAGCGATAGGTGAAGTCCGGAATGATGCTGTCAGTAGTAGAGACCGCGGTAGTATCGCCGTATCAATGCGACGTAAAGACTGCAGGTCATCCTTAGTGCAAGTTCTGCTGCTATGATAGGTCAATTTTATAAAGGTGGCGAACGAGCGTTCTGATCATTTTACGCTCTAGCCTCTAGGTATGTATAGATACTTAGAAAACTTAGTACGAAGTTTTTTTCCACCACATACCGGCAACGGTACGGGCGTGGATAAGCTTGACAGGCTTAACACATTTATTCATTTGGCTTCGACTGAAATCGCTAGTTCGTCCCTTGCGGTCAAATGCAACAGCGTAACTCACCGCATGTTTATTGACAAGGGAATCCGAAGGAAACCGAGAAACGGCTGACAAAGGCGCCGATGGGGGAATCGAACCCTGGCTACGTCGTTCGATTCGCGTAGGCAGTACCACTGAACCACGGCGCAATACGTTAAAATCCTTTGAAAGATCTTGTCGCTTTACGTGAGCCGCTTCTCTACTCACCACACGTATGATGGACAGAGCATTGAAAATTGCCGATCATACGCCACTCTTTGCAGGCCAACAACTGCCGTGGAAAACATGCGTTCAGCATCCGTTGGCAAAAGCCGAGGATGTTGCATGTACTTTGTACAGATATATCTGAAATCTAGCTATATTCCTGGTGCGCCAGCTTTGATACCAGATTTCTGTTGTCAAGCAATTTTCATGATAACTTAATTTTTCATCTGGAGAGCAATCGAAAGTCAAAGCGTTGTTGCCTCTGCACCGTGACCATCAGTGGCCAGCTTCCATTCAGAATTGTTTTTGTTGTCAACGGAATCAACTTAGTACCTCTAGACTGTCCTTTGCTGGCTTTGCATACTCAAGTGTCTGTCAAGTGATTACATTTTCGGCGGTTGTTCGTTGCTAAAGTAGTTTAATTTCCTGAAGCTGAGCTCGAACAGAAATACCATCTTCCCAATTGTGATTTCATTTTTCAGTGTTTCGTACAATCCTGAACCGTAAAACAGGATTACTATTCATGGAAGCTGCCCTGTCAAAAACTACAGCTCAACACTGTTTACAGATTCGGACGAGCAACCTCTCGCTTTATCACCAAGTTCTGGAAGCAGATACAGTACAACAAAAAATAAGCGACGGAGGGCCGTTCTGCCCAGTCAGAGCAGTTTAGAGTCGGTCGGGTCACTAACGGAGAATCATGCTTTAATAAAGCAGAAGATAGATGTCTTACTCTTGTAGAAAATTTGGGATTGTTAGATACGTAAAGTTAAAGCTGGGCAGCGCAAGGTACGGTACCATAAAGTTTAACCTAATGTGTGTCGCAGGCTTTTCTTTTTATACGAGTACAACCACACATTGGAAATGTCCTAAAGAAAAAATTGAAGAATAACAATTTATTAGTCATAAATTCATAATAAACTGCCATAGAAAGTGCGGACACTGCTCACCTACAGGTAAACTAGTACAAATTTAACGACGCGAAGATGCAGTGAATACCGAGCTCAGTAAGAATAATGAAGAAACTTTTTACCAGTACACAAGATTATAAGAGGTTTCGTCAGCCAGAAGCGAATACCGCCCACAATTTTTCTTGGAATTGTACAGTTAAGGCTGTTACATTCGCTGGATCGTACACAATGTCGGTAAGCACGCCACGATCATGCAAAAATCGAAGCGTGACAGTGTGCAGGCCATAAGAAATAGTCTCCTCCTACGGATACCACACACAACCTCCTGTAGAGAACTTGCAGTTCTTCCACAATACAGCGCCCACCGTCGAAGCAGCGGCGGCGCAAGCGTCGGCCACACGACGTATTTCCTTTTTGAAAGGACCAACCATTCTCCAGACACACCGGTCGAATATCAACAGCAGCTTCCGCCCTGCTGTCGGCTGCAGTATAATCTGGAGAGCATGGATGAATCGCAGGCAGTCCGCTATGTCGGTATTGTCGGCTCTCTGGATAGCGTGTGTGATGATGATCCTATCATTCGTCGCGGTGATACCTTTCCACAAACTTCTGGCCACCATGAGCGACCCGCGCGTGGTGTACTGGTTCGATGCTGTAGATATACGCTGGAATGACACCCCAATTTGTTTGGAGTAGTGCTCCCGAGTAAGCACGCAATTCCACAGCATGCATACGTGACGACATCGCGCTTGGTCGACACTATCCAGAAACCGGAGCACTTCGTCGAGCATTTCCACCGGCAGCGTTGATAGACACGCGGCTGGATTAATCGGCTCCTCCTTACGCTCATTCTTGGGTGGAATCCAATCAGAATCGAAAAATGTCCACCCGGCTTTCTCGCGCTTACCCAAATCGCGTCGGGCATCTTGTAGTCGCAACAGGATTTCCTGTTGGAATAAGCGGGCACTAGAACATTCTCAACGCCACCCGAACAGCAAAATTATTTCTGCCTGTTTCGAATACAAATAACAGCCAGACTAAATGGATAACCATCGAACTGCTGGGCAGTGCTGCGGCGTGCTCTGAGTTTAAAATATGTACTTCTTATCGTTAACTATAATTAAATTTAAGGCAGACAACCGTTGATTGATTCCGTTTCATTTGAATCACATGCAGGTAGGTATTCGGCTCAATAGGCTCAC